TGTATGTATGTTTGCATGTGTGTGTGTGTGTGTCTCTGGGTGGGGCATGTATCTGTATGTGGCTGCATAGTTGCGTGCATGTTATTGTTTCTGTTTGTTTGTCCGTCCCTCGTTTTGTCCATCCCGTCCTTCCGTCCGTCCGTCTGTCTGCCTGCACGTATGCAACCATGTATTGACTACAAACACAGATATGGTGCTGTCATGCATGACACGCAGAATTACGGCTTTTGCTTCGGGGTTCGAGTTGGCGAGTTTTCGGGGCGGAAACATCCGTGGTTGGCAGTTCCTTCGGACCCAAGGAAGCAGGCTGGCCCAGTCCTCGCCGAAACGACTGTCGAAGCCTAAATCCTGAATTCCCAAATCCTCAGTATTTTCCGGACCAGGCACTTACGTGCATGACGGTTGATAAAAGTCAGAAATTCGTGGCAGATTGTTCCGACAACCCGCGCGTGTTTCACTCCGAAACAGCGCCCACCCTCAACCTGAACCGTGCCCAAAAGGAGAGAGCCCTTAGCCTCAATCCTAAAATATATCTTACATCATCGCACTGAAGTTCAAACCTCATTGATGGTGAAAGCCCTATAGACATGCTGAAAGGAGTGCTTATAGGAACCCCCCAGGCCCTCCCAGAACCCATAAAGGAGCCTTTAAAATATAGTGGTTTTCCGACCGAACATAGGGGACCCTTACTAATATAGTACCCGAAATAGTAGGATCCTTATTACAAGGACCCCCCCAAAAAAGGTATCCCATATTTTCGGAAACTCCCAAAGGAAGGGAACCTGAAAGGGGACCCTGAGATGAACCTTTAAGGGAGACCCTAGTATAGAGGGGTTTAGGGTTTTAGGGTTTAGGGTTTTAGGGTTTAGGGTTTTGGGGTTTAGGGTTTTAGGGTTTAGGGTTTAGGGTTTTTAGGATTTAGGGTTTTAGGGTGTAGGGTATAGGGAGAACCCTAGAATACTATAGATACCCTTTGACTGGGATCCTATTCTAGTTCTCCCATGCTACCCCATGAACCTAAACCCTTCACCCTAGACCCTAAACTATAATATAGGGTCCAAAATAATTACCAATACTTTTTTGGGTGATCTTTCTTATAATTATAGTATCCTATATCCCAAAACCCTATTCTAATTATTAAGGCCCCTATAGTATCCTTTTAAAGGAACCCTAAACCCTAAACCCTAAACCCTAAACACCTAAACCCTAAACCCTAAACCCTAAACCCTAAAAAGCAGGGCGTGGTCCGAAGGACGGGATTCCATCGTCACGCTGGCCACGGGCGCCTGTGACAAATTCATGTAGCTTTTAGGGCTTTGTTAAACGGTTAAGGGCCTATAGGATTTAGGGTTTAGGGCTTATAGGGTTTAGGGTTTAAGGGCTTATGGGGTTCAGGGTTTAGGGTTTAGGGTTTAGAGTTTAGGGGTTTGGGGTTTACCTTAAGAACCCCAAAACCCACTTTTTTGTAGGTTCTTATTATAAACCCTAATATGGGATCTATAGGGACCCTACAAAAAGTAGGTTTGGGGTTCTTAAGGTAGGGCTTATAGGGTTTAAGGGCTTATAGGGTTTAAGGGCTTATGGGGTTTAGGGTTTAGGGTTTAGGGCTTATAGGGTTTATAGGGTTTAGGGTTTAGGGCTTATAGGGTTCAAGGGCTTATGGGGTTTAGGGCTCAGGGCTTATAGGGTTCAAGGGCTATGGGGTTCAGGGCTTATAGGGTTTAGGGCTCAGGGCTTATAGGGTTTAGGGTTTAGGGCTTATAGGGTTTAAGGGCTTATGGGGTTTAGGGTTTAGGGCTTATAGGGTTTAATGGCTTATGGGGTTCAGGGCTTATGGGGTTCAGGGCTTATAGGGTTTAAGGGCTTATAGGGTTTATGGGGTTTCGGGTTCAGGGTTTATAGGGTTTAGGGGCGGCTTAGAGTTGGACGGCTTCCACAAGTTTGTGCGGAAATGTGGGAAAGGGCGAAGGCTTGAGGGGTTTCTTCACCAGTCGTTGGCAGTAATCGTGAATTCAGTTTCGAGCTCGTTTACAGCAATTTATATATATATATATAAATAGATAAATAAATAAATATAAATATAAATATAAATATATATGTATAAATATATATATATATATACACACACGTCGCGGGGCCTGAATGATTAATTACCAACATTTTGCCGTATAGGGGCCCTTGATGTAGTTTTCTTAGTAAAGCCCTGTTCCAAGTACTAAGGCCCCGCATTGCTGCATGGGGGCATGCGGGAAACCCAAAACCAAGCTGACCAACCGCCTCAAAGGCCTCATCTGTAAAACAAACCCCGAAGCCCTAAAACCCTAGAGCCCTACCAAAGGCCAGCCTTATTCGAGTTTATCCATTGATGCTAGGTTCTTGGTGTCATACGGTTTAGGGTGTAGGAGTTTAGGGGTAAAGGGTTTAGGGTTTAACATGGGCTTTGCGGTACTTCCATGACTGTTGGTGGTGTTTGTTCTCGATCGCGGTGATATCATAGTGCTATCCCGCGAAATACGGCGATGGTACTGGCGATGACGACGATGGATGAGAATGACGACGAAGATATCGATTGAAGATGGCGGTGGTGATGGTGGTGTCTACAGCCGCCCCAGTGATCACTTGTCGCAGCCATGGTGATGGGCGTTGCTTGTCTTATTTGTCGCGCCGGTCGTCACATGTTTGCACTGCTTCTTAATGTTGCATGATGATTGTTCCTGTTCTGCATATACTAGTAGTAGTTACTGTAGACACTACAGTACGGCCCCTATTGTTGTCGATGTTCCTGTAGTATTTATGCGATCAGCTCACGATTCATGACGAGCGCTTCCCGTGTTTGCGTTCAAGCATTTTCAGGTGCTGGGAAGTCAGTTTGCTTCCAGCTCCCGCCACTCTGTCGGCGGGGTCAGCGCTTCTCGACTACCACTTTGGCTGGTGCAGCAAAAGGGGGGGGTAATATAGGAATTAGAACAGAGTTTGGGGATAACTATAATAAGGAACCCCTTGAAACCCTATTCTCCTTATTCAGGCCCCTCCATTAACAGGGTTGAGGTGCTCGGCGGATTTTGGGGCTTTGGGATTTGGGGTTGGTTCAGGGTTCAGGGGTTGGTTCAGGGTTGCATTGCAAACAAGGGCATCGCTGCGGGGCTCCGTTGGCCGCGTCTGCTCTCTGTTGCACCTAGCTTACTACGGGGCCTGGTCACTGCTCAGCCCACAAGCTGTGAATAGAAATTACTTATAGTCTCAATTGTAGTTCCTTTTTCTGGTTAACCATTTTTAAGGTTAGGATCCTATAATATAAGTTTTGGTCAACCAAAAAAAAGGAACTACAATGGAGACTGTAGGTACACCCTAAACACCCGAAACCTTTCTCAAGCGCCTCGATTTTCTTCCAGTGAATGGCTCGGAGGTGTCGGGTGTGGTGCGTACTTTTTTGTTGGACCCCGGTCCGAGACCCTTACCCTAAGGCTCTAAGGGCTCATATGTTAAGGCTTTTGGGCCCAAAGACCATGCCATATAAGGCTTTTGGGCCATTTTGAGCCTCAGGCTTAAAGTTTTGAAGCTCACAGAACCTGCCCTGCAAACCCCTTGGTCGCCATAGCATTTACAGATGATTCTCGTTTATCCGTGCGATTTAGGGTTTAGGGTTTACGGTCAGCAGTTTGAGGGCGTCCTGATATAGGAATTGTGTGCGGAGATCCGTCTTCGATGCTGCACAGCAAGCCATTGCAATTAATTTTCCTGAACATATTCCGTGTGTCTCAGGCATCCCTCAATGTTGGAGGGCTCCGTTTAAGGTGACTTGTTTCATCATAAAGCGGTATTAAATCAGAAACAGTGTATTTCACCCAGCACATCCGAGCAGGTATAGCCACAAATTTGGAGAGTCCCAAACCAAAGGGCCGTCAGCCCTATATACCCTGAACTCCCCACATGTAGCTCAGTGAACAAGCCCCTGAAGCCTAAACACTAAACGGTGTACCGAAACCTGGTTCAGGATTCAGGGTTTCATCCGGGTGTCCTGTCCTAAACCTTAAACCTTTAGTCCTTAAACCCTCTAAACCCTGAACCTCTACTCCGTATACCCTCTAAACCCTAAACCTTTAGTCCTCAACCCCTCTAAACCCTAAACCTTTAGTCCTTAAACCCTCTAAGCCCTAAACCTTTAGTCCTCAAATCCTCTAAACCCTAAACCTTTAGTCCTCAAACCCTCTAAACCCTAAACCTTTAGTCCTCAAATCCTCTAAACCCTAAACCTTTAGTCCTCAAATCCTCTAAGCCCTAAGCCTTACCTGTGGCCCAAAAGACTTACCTTTTAAGGAACTATATGTAGGAATCATAATAAGGAACCCTAAAAAGGTAGGATTTTCGGCTACAGGTAGTCCTTAACATTCTGGGTTTGCAGGATGCGCCTTGGTGATCTCGCCGCTGATTTCCTTGATGCAGGACCAGGCGGGGCCGTGCAAGGAGACCTCGAAACCTCACCCTAGGGCTCCAGTTACCTAAATAGTAGGTTACTAACCATAGATTATGTACCCCAGTAACCTACTATTTAGGGAACTGGAGCCCTAGGGTCCGCTAGAGGTTCGGGTGTAGGGTATAGGGTTTAGGGCTAAGTTGGGTTTAGAGTGCAAGGTGTGGGGGTCTAGGGTTTAGAGTGTAGGGTATAGGGCTTAGAGCTTATATGGTGTAGGGCGTAGGTAACCCGACCTCGGAGTTTTAAACCCTAAACCCTAAACCCTAAACCCTAAACCCTAAACCCTAAACCCTAAACCCTAAACCCTACGAGGCGCAGCAAATTGGAGCTGAAGGTCCCTCCCCCAACAAGGAAATCTCGGGGTTCTGCCACCCTAAATACGAGAGGGGCCTCAACAACTGCCTATACTATTTGGGGGGGGGGGGTTCCTGAGTATAATTATAGTATA